AGTATCTCCAGCAGGGCAGTATGTTAGTCACTTAGTACGAGACCCATTTTATGGATCTAGCTCGTCATGCCCTTATCTTGCTTCCTATTGATAGGGAGAGGGTGAGCAGGTTTATTGATGGACTCATTCGTCCTATCAGGCTACAGATGGCCAAGAAGATCGGGGGTGAGATTTCCTTTCAGACGGCTGCTAAAGGTATTTGGCGAATCGAGATAATTCTTTCATAGGAGAGAGGGCAAGGGGTCTGATAAGATGCCTTGTCATTCCGGTGGTTTTAGTGGCGCCTCATCTGGAGGCAGGGGTACTTTTGGTAAGGGCCATCCTCCCAGGCCATTCACTTGGCGCTTCAGGCATCCCACAATGCTTTAGGGGGTTGTGGTCCTTATGTGACTTATTCTGGGCAGCCAACCTACAGCGCACCATCAACTCCTATCCGTGCGCCTCCGATTCAAAGTTATCATCGTGGTTATCCAGCCCGTTCGGTTCAGTCTCAGTTTCAGCAGCCACAACACCAGGATGGATATTTTGAGTGTGGTGGTTTTGGGCATATCAAGACGACTTGTCCGAGATTATTGGGCGGCACGCCACAGCAGAGTTCTCGTGCCATGGTTTAGACACTAGTTGAACCACCGCCCGCTCAACCAGCTAGAGGCAGGGGTCAGGTAGCCAGAGGTGGAGGTCAGGCCGTTAGAGGTAGAGGTCAGGCCGCTAGAGGTGGAGGTCAGGCCACTAGAGGTGGAGGCCAGCCAGCTAGAGGTCGTCATAGAGATGTAGTTCAGAGTGGTGGGACCCAGCCCCAATGTTATGCCTTCCCAGCCAGGCCTGAGGCTGAGTCATCTAACGCTGTTATCACAGGTATTATTCAAGTTTGCCATAGAGATGCTTCAGTTCTATTTGATCTGGGCTCTACTTATTCCTACGTGTCATCCTATTTTGCTTCATATCTGGTTGTGCCTCATAATTCTTTGAGTGCCCCTGTGTATGTTTCCACACTTGTGGGAGATTCTATTATTGTAGATCGCGTCTATCGTTCGTGTGTGATTACTATTAGGAGTTTCGAGACTAGCGTAGATCTTCTACTTCTCGATATGGTTAATTTTGATGTCATCTTGGGTATGGATTGGCCGTCACCTTATCATGCTATATTGGATTGACACGCCAAGACGACGACCTTAGCCTTGCCGGGTTGCCTCGATTAGAGTGGAGGGGACTCCTGGCTATTCTACTAGCAGGGTTATCTCTTATGTGAAGGCCCGACATATGGTCGAGAAGGGGTGTCTAGCTTATTTGGCTTATGTCCACCATTCTAGTGCAGAGGTTCCTTCCATGGATTCAGTACCAATTGTTCGTGAGTTTCCAGAGGTGTTTCCTGCAAATCTGTCGGGGATGCCACCTGATAGAGATATTGACTTCTACATTGATTTGGCTCCTGACACTCAGCCCATTTCTATTCCGCCATACCATATGGCCCCACCAGAGTTGAAAGAATTGAAGGAGCAGTTGCAAGATTTACTTGATAAGGGCTTCATTAGACCTAGTGTCTCGCCCTGGGGTGCGCTTGTGTTGTTCGTGAAGAAGAAAGATGGATCGATGAAGATGTGCATAGATTACCGACAGTTGAACAAAGTCACCATCAAGAACAAGTATCCTTTGCCGATGATTGATGACTTATTTGATCAGCTTCATGGTGCCAAGGTGTTTTCGAAGATTGATTTGAGGTCTGGCTACCATAAGTTGAGGATCAGAGCATCCGATGTCCCTAAGACAGCTTTTCAAACTCGGTATGGGCGTTATGAGTTTTTAGTAATGTCACTTGGGCTGACAAATGCCCCAGCAACATTTATGGATTTGATGAACTGGTTGTTCATGCCCTATCTGGACTCCCTTGTGATTGTGTTTATTGATGATATCTTGATCTACTCCCGCAGTCGAGAGGAGCACGAGCACATCTTTAGATTGTACTTTAGACTCTGAGAGATAGTCAATTGTATGCCAAATTTTCAAAGTGCGAGTTTTGGTTGAACTCGGTCGCTTTCTTGGGGCACGTCGTATCGGCAGAGGGCATAAAGGTGGATCCTAAGAAGATTGCGGCAGTTCAAAATTGGCCTAGACCCACTTTAGCTACGGAGATCTAGAGTTTCTTGGGTTTGGCGGGATATTACCGTCGGTTTGTGAAGGGGTTTTCATCTATAGCATCCCCATTGACCAGGTTGACCCAGAAGGGTGCCCCGTTCAGATGGTCAGACGAGTGTGAGGCGAGCTTTCAGAAGCTCAAGACTGCTTTGACTACGGCGCTAGTGTTGGTGTTGCCTACAGGTTCAGGATCTTACACGGTGTATTATGATGCATCTCATATTGGGCTTGGTGCAGTATTGATGTAGGATGGCAGGGCGACTACATATGCGTCGCGGCAATTGAAGGGTCAGGTTGTTCATGACTTAGAGTTGGCAACCATTGTTCATGCGCTGAAGATTTGGAGGCACTATCTTTATGGCATGTCATGTGAGGTATTCACGGATCATCGGAGCTTGCAGTATTTGTTCAAACAAAAGGATATCAATTTGAGGCAAAGGAGGTGGTTGGAGCTATTGAAAGACTATGATATCACCATCTTGTATCATCTTGGGAAGGCCAACGTGGTGGCCGATGCCTTGAATAGAAAGGCAGTGAGTATGGGTAGCCTTGCGTACATTCCAGTCCGTGAGAGACCGCTTGCATCAGATGTTTAGGCTTTGGCCAATCAGTTCGTGAGGTTGGATGTTTCAGAGCCCGGTCGTGTTCTATCTTGTACAGTCGCTTGGTCTTCCTTGTTTGAGCGCATCAGGGAGCGGCACTATGATGACCCTCATTTACTTGTCTTTAGGGATATAGTGCGACACTGTAGTGCCAAGCAGGTTATTGTTGGAGATCATGGAGTTTTGAGGATGCAGGGTTGTATTTGTGTGCCTAATGTAGATGGACTTCGTGAGTTAATTCTTGAGGAGGCCCACAGTTTCCGGTATTCTATTCATTCGGGTGTCGCCAAGATGTATCAAAACTTACGACAGCATTATTGGTGGAGGAGGATGAATAAGGATATATTTGCATATGTAGCTCGGTGTCTAAATTTTCAACAAGTAAAGTATGAGCATCAGAGACCTGGTGGTTTGCTTCAGAAGTTAGAGATTCCTAAGTGGAAGTGGGAGTGTATCACTATGGATTTTGTTGTCGGACTCCCACGGACTTAGAAGAAGTTCGATGCTGTATGGGTTATTATGGACAGGCTGACCAAGTAAGCGCATTTCATTCCTGTGACAGTTACCTATTCTTCAGAGCGGCTGGCTGAGATTTACATCCGCGAGATCGTTCGTCTTCACGGTGTGTCCATGTCTATCATTTTTGATCGGGGTACGCAGTTTATCTTGCACTTCTAGAGGGCAGTACAACGTAAGTTGGGCACTCGGGTTGAGGTGAGCACAACATTTCATCCTCAGACGGACAGACAGTCCGAGCACACCATTTAGATATTAGAGAATATTCTCCGCGCTTATGTTATAGATTTCGGGGGTTCTTGGGATCAGTTCTTGCCACTTGCGGAGTTTGCCTACAACAACAGCTGCCAGTCGAGCATTCAGATGGCTCCCTATGAGGCATTATACGGGAAGTGGTGTCGATCGCCAGTTGGATGGTTCGAGCCGGGGGAGGCTCGGTTGTTGGGTACAAATTTGTTACAGGATGCCTTGGATAAGGGCAAGATTATTCAGGATCGACTTCGCATAGCTCAGTCTAGGCAGAAGAGTTATGCCGACCGTAAGGTTCGTGATGTTGCATTCATGGTCAGAGAGAGGGTGTTGCTCCGGATTTCACCCACGAAAGGGTGTGATGAGGTTCGGGAAGAAGGGCAAGTTGAGCCCTAGGTATATAAGACCTTTTGAGATTCTTTAGAGAGTGGGTGAGGTGGCTTATAAGCTCACATTTCCACCTAGTTTATCAGCAGTCCATTCGGTGTTCCATGTGTCCATACTCCGGAAGTATCACGGTGATCCGTCCCATGTATTAGATTTCAGCTCAGTCTAGTTGGACAAGGATTAGACTTATGAGGAGGAGCCGATGGCTATTCTAGCCCGGCAGGTTCGAAAGTTGAGGTCAAAGAGTTATCCTTCAATTCAAGTGCAGTGGAGAGGTCAGCCAGTCGAGGCAGCTACTTGGGAGTCCAAGTCGGCCATGCGGAGTAGATATCCACACCTTTTCACTTGCCCAAGTACTTTTCTATGTCCGTTCGAGGACGAACGGTTGTTTTAGAGGTGGAGAATGTGATGACCCGATAGGTCATCTGGAGTTTTAAACTTTAATTCTATATTTCGAAGCCTCCAATAGCTTCTTTAAGCCTTCCTCGATGTACGTGCATAGTCCAAGTGTTTTTTCGGAAGGCTTTTATGTTAAAAATTGGTAAAATATGAAAATTTGCCTTAAAAATCTATTTGAGTTGACTTCGGTCAATTTTTTGAGCAAACGGACCCAGATCCGTATTTTGACGGTCTCGGCGGGTCAGTATCGTGATTTAGGACCTAGGCGTATGCCCTGAATCGATTTTGGAGATCTCTAGCTTGAGTTATCGCTCTTTGTTCAAAATTAAAAGTTTAAAGGTTTAATGACTTTAAGGATTTGACCGATGTTTGACTTTGTTGATACCGGGAGCGTATTCTTGTTCCAAAACCCGGTATAGGTCCATTACTATATTTGGGGCCTTTCTGCTAAATTTGGTAAAAAACAGAGTTGGTTTGACGTGATTCGGACGTCCGGTTGCTAAAATAGAAATTCTAAAGTTTTATTAAAAATTTTATTTGATTTGGTGTCCGATTCGTAGTTCTAGGTGTTGTTTTGGTATTTTGATTGCACGATCGAGTTCGTATCATGTTTTTGGACTTGTGTGCATAATTGGTTTGGATCCCCGAGGGCTCGGGTGAGTTTCTGATAGCCTACGGACCATTTGAACTTAGGAAAAATCTGGTTTTTGAGCTTTAGCTGTCATGTGGTGCATTGTGCTTCGCGATCGCGAAGCCATTCTCGCAATCGCGAAGGGGATCTGGGCTGGGGGAGGATTTTGTTCTACGCGAACGCGACCTATCACATGCGAACACGTAGTTTAGTGAGGTGAGGGCTAGGAATGTGAGGTGACCCTATCCGAACGCGAGTCCAGTCTCGTGAACGTGGTGGTTAAGCGGGCTAAACCTTTGCAAATGCGTGGAATCTTCCGCGATCGCATAAGCCAGTGAGGCTTTGCTCTTCGCGAACACGTCAGGTTTCACGCGAACGCGATTAACACCTGACGCCTGTGATTAAAACAGTCCCAAAAATAGGATTTTGTTTATTCTTTCAAATTTTCAAAACTAGAAAACCCTAGAGGCGATTTCCCCAAGAGTTCTTCTTCCCCAATTCTTTGGTAAGTGAGCCTAACCTACTTTCTTTAAATTTTTCGTTACATTTCATAAGATTTCAACCTAAAATCTAGGATTTTCATGGTAGAAATTGGGGGTTTGGATAGAGCTAGAAATTTTTGTAAAATTAGAATTTAGACCTTAAATTAAGGTCGGATTTCAAAATAAATTACATAACCGGGCTCGGGCTTGAATGGGTAATCGAGTTTCGGTCTGAATTTCGTGTTTGAACCAAGAGCGCCCGTGGTCGACTTTTGACTTTTTGGGGAAAAGTGTGGAATTTCTATGTTTATGCATTTTAATATATTCCTTTAGCGATAATTGATATTATTGAGTCAGTTGTGGTTAGATACGAGTGGTTTAGAGGTGGATTCTAGGGGAAAGGCCTGATAGAGCTCTGAGTTGACTGCGGAGTGAGGTAAGTATTGAGTTTAACCTTGATTTGAACCCTCAGATTATGTGCTATGTGAATTTCATGTGTTGCGGCGTATATGCGAGGTGACGAGTGGTTATACACCGCTGAGTTACTTGTTTCCAGATTTTCCACTTTTTCTTAATTATGTCCTTTCCTATCTTAACTGTTATATGCTCTAAATGCCTTTCATGCTTAATTGCAACCTGTTAATCATTGTTTCTCCTGTTAACAATGTTAGATCCTTTTATGCTTTCATAACTCACTGCTATTTGCCTTAGTTGACTTACTTGCACTTTCTAATTGTCATTTACTGGACTTGTCTTGCCGTGTAGTATTACATATGTGAATTCCCATGTTGTACGAGGTTCCTTTTCTGATTCAGCTTTGTATTCATCGATCGTAGAGGTTCTTGTGATTTGAATTATTGATTTGACTGTGCTCATTGAATATTTGGTACTGATATGGTGGGATCGGATTGCACGCTGCAACAGATGAAATAAGGGTGGATGGATATGGTAGAATAAGGGTGAATTTGCACTGATATGGTGGGGATCGGGTTACACGCCTCAACAGGTGGAATAAGGGTGGATTGATACAGTGAAATAAGGGTGAATTATGATACTGATTTTCTTATATGGTGGGATCGGGTTGCGCTCCGCAACATATATTTATTTGTTTATGATTGTGATAGTACTACGGTGGAATAAGGGAGGATTGAGCTGTACGCTGGGATCGGGTTGCGCGCCGCAACAACCTATGTGCTTCTATTTCTCTGTATTGTGTCGGTTCTCGGTATTTTTCATACGGAACTCTAAGGATTGGTAATTCTGATTGGTACTGGTTTTCTTTGAGGATTTAGCTATTTTCTTCAGTTAACTGTCTTATTTCGTTATGTATTTTCTTCTCCTGTTTGTATTATATACTGCGTACAGGTTGTAGTGTAAGTGACCTGCCTTAGCCTCGTCACTACTTCGTCGAGGTTAGGCTTGGCACGTACAGAGTACATGGGTCGATTGTACTCTTACTATACTCTGTGCTTCTTGTGCAGATTTTGGAGCCGATCCCAGCGGCGGTTATTAGCGTGCTTGGATTGGCCAGCTTTGTGGAGACTTGAGGTACAACTGCTCAGCATCCGCAGCTCCTATAGTCCCCTTTCCTTTTTATTTAGCTGTGTACTTTCCTTCAAACGGCTTTATGTTTTATTCACACCTTTATTTGTACCATTCTAGTAGCTCGTGCACTTGTGACACCGGGTCCAAGGTTGTATCAGATATTTGAGTTGCTATAGCTTCCGCACTTTATTTTGGATTATTACAGTTATTTCAATTCTTTCTTATTACTTAATTTGAACTGTTGAAAATGGATAAATTATTATAACGTTGGCTTGCCTAGTAAGTGAACTGTTAGGCGTCATTACGGTCCCGAGGGTGAGAATTTCGGATCGTGACACTTCTATACGCTTTAGTAAATTGTGATATACTAATTGACTTATTTTTATTCGTTGGCTTATAATTAGGGATCCCACGCACAGCTAGTAGTGAATATAAATTTGAAGAGTACCCATCCTCAAAGAGAATGAATTCTCGAGACTAATTTTCACCAAGTATATGACGAATCCTCTGAAGAAATGGAGGAAAAACATGGGAACTTGTAACTTTATGACTAAAACTTTGTTGATTTTAATACTACCTTTTAAACGGGCCCATGATTGAATGAACACTTCTCAAAAATTCATGTGATTGTCTCAATATTAGATCTTTGTCAAACAACCGTCTCTTTTTAAATCGTAATATTCATTTATTTAATTCCATTTTTTTTAATTGTTGTTGTTTTAGTCATTTGCTGCGATAGATATGTTATTTTATTGATTGTATCCCAAGAAAATGTCACGACCCCAATCCCGGTCGTGATGGCGCCCAACACTAGTGCTAGGCAAGCCCGACCAAATTAAATACTCTCAACCCAAATACGCAATCCGTTAACAAATAATACGATTAAAATAGCAAATATCAAAGCTCCAATCCGAATCTAAATAAAATAGTACGGAATACAATAACGAATATCCAAACATTCCCCAATAGATCTGGAGTCACGAGTCTAGAGCCTCTAGATATAACAGAGTAATATATCCATAGTAATAAAGAAGTCTAGGATATGGAAAGACAAATGAAATAAAGGGGAGGAGTCGAGTCCTAAGGACATCAGGCAGCTACCTCAACAACTCCTGAAAATAAACTTCACGAAAACGGCAAACAGCTCCACTAAGTCTCCGGAGCACCTGAATCTGCACACATGGTGCAGGGAGTAAAGTGAGTACTTCCAACTCAGTGAGTAATAAACATATATAAGGGCTGAAAGTAAGAAATCCCGAAATATTATCATATAAAGCTATAACCAGCGATTCCGCACATAAAACGGTGGAACAACAACAATACCAGGACAAATAAGACAAATAGGTATAAATGCATGAATGCAATGCAATGCACATGACCGCTGCGGTGCGTAGCCCGATCCATTTGGGTACCCGCGCTCACTGTGGGGGTTCAGACTCCGGAGGGGCTCCTACAGCCCAAGCGCAATATCATCGTAGCATTCGCTGCGGCGTGCAGCCCGATCCACACTCAGTCCAGGTATATATATGCATGCATGCCAATCGGGCACAGTCAAATTATTCATTTTAGTTTCAATTATTAGGAATTTTAGAGCTAAGTGTTTAAACATTTATTTATTTACTAACCATTTCGAGGCAGTGTCTAACTTAGGACTGATATCATAAAATATGCTAAGCATCATGGAAGCAGTGATAAGGATCCCTGAAGGATGCACATGATAGGCACAAAGCCCCAAACAATTCATAAACTCCAAGTAGGATAATTACCAAACAATTTCTAGTCAAGAACGCAGTACGAACATAATTCGGAACGGACTAGGTCACAATCCCCAGTCACAATCGACCCCGCACTCGTCATAGAGTACGTGTCTCGCCTCAATATAGCGTCACAATGTGATATACCGGGGTTTCAAACCCTCAGGTCATCATCTACATCTATTACTCACCTCAAGCCGGCCACAAGTCTAGCTCGCTATGCCTTTGCCTTTCGAATCAACCTCTTCGCACGCCGAATCTGATTAAAACCACAATGAATACATTACAATAGGCTAAAGAAACATAACCCAATCGAAAAGACTCGAAAAACACCAAAATTCACGAAGTTGGCAAAACCCGAGCCCCGGGCCCACTTCTCGAAAAATTACGAAATTCACATTACCGGATTCCTCGTCTCGCCACGAGTCCGTACATATAAAATTTACCAAAATCGGAGTTCAAATGCCCCTTCAAATCCCAAATTTTCATTTCAAAACCCAAGCCCTAGTTCTTCAAATTTATACCCAATTTTCAAAGAATTAAAGGTTGATTCTTCAATAAAATAGCGTTTCTAGGTCACAAGACTTACCTCCAATCAATTCCCGTCAAAATCCTCTTTAGTTTCTACCAACAAGCTCTTAAGGTAGTTAACAATGGAGGAAAAATGAATAGACTCGCGGATGAAATAATAATATAAAAACCCTTCTGCCCAGCGACTTTCGCTTCTGCGGTCCCGCTTCCGCTTATGCGGGACCGCTTCTGCGGCCAAAAATCCCGCATTTGCGGTCCTCATTAAAAAAACCAACTTCCGCTTTTGCGGCTCAGATTCCGCTTCTGCGGAATTCCCTCCTAACGACCAAAACCGCTGATGCGAAAAGTGTTTCGCTTCTGCGGAACTACTTTACCAAACCACTGACCGCTTCTGCGATGCCTCACCCGTTTCTGCGGAACCGCTTCTGCGGTTCATTTCCGCAGAAGCGGAAATACTAGATACCAGCAAAAATGAACCTGCAACAAACTTTAAAAACTCTCCGTTTAACCACTCGAACTCACCCCGAGGCCCCCGGGACCTCAACCAAAAACACTAACACATCCTAAAACCTTTATTCAATCTTGTTCCAATACTCAAAACACATCAAACAACGCTAAAACCATCAAATCACATCAGATTCAAGCCTAAGTTTCTTAAAAACCTCCAAATTGCACATTCAATCAAAAACCCGACCTACACACCTCCGAATGACCTGAAACTTTGCACACATACCCAAAATTACCTAACGGAGCTACTACAACTGTCGGAATTCCATTCCGACCCTCGGATCAAAATCACCTATCCACCGGAATTCGCCAAAATGCCAACTTTGCCAATTCAAGCATAATTCTACTCCGGACCTCCAAAATCACTTTCGATCGCACTCCTAAGTCACAAATCACCTCCCGAAGCTAACCAAATCACCGAAATTCACATACGAGCCTTCTAACTAATAAGTCAACGTTCAGTTGACTTTTCCAAACCAAACCTTCCTTAAAGAGACTAAGTGTCTCATTTCCTATCCAAACCAATTCAATTAAACTCTAACTCACCCGTTGCTGATAATAAAATATGAAAGAGCAATAATGGGGGAAACGGGGCTGTAATACATGAGACGACGGGTTGGGTCGTCACAGAAAATCAGCAGCATATCTTACCGAACAATATTAAATAATAAATAACATGTATATGTCACGAGCTTTATTGTTATCTCCGTATGACCTAAAGATCACGGGTTCAAGCCGTGAAATTAGCCGCTGATACTTGTTCCAGTATAGGCTGCCTACATTATACCCCTTTGGGTGCGGCCCTTCCCCGAACCTTACGTGAATGCGGAATGCTTTGTGCACTAGACTGTGCACTTTTTATTATATGAAAATAAAGAAGAAAATAGAACTTATAGAGGAGACCTTGACCTCAAAAGTACTTACGTTGAAAAATTGAAATGGCTTTATACGTGAAATGTTCAATAGATTACTCTACGTGCATGGTATTCATGCAAAATTGATACAATTTATACCTTTCAAGAAGTAAATTGTAGGCTTAACTTTTGTTACAAAATAATCATGATCCTATATATATATATATATATATATATATATATATATATATATATATATATATATATAAAAGAGCAACTCATCGTTGCTATTACGAGTTTAACTTTTGTGCTTCATAGGTCAGTAAGTCTTTATACCATCAGATCACGGTAATCTACGACATGTTACACAAATGCCACTCGATTGAGAGCTATATATATAACTTAAATAGTTCTATTAACAAAAATGAACTTCTCTTGCTTGAGGGGATTGTAAGAGGGTGGATTTCAATATAAAGAACAATAAAGGGATCATGCAATAAAGGAAACAAGCATCTAATCATTCAACTGTTCAGTCTTTTGCGGAAAAGAAAAGTAAGAGATGCATTTCTTTCCTTTTTCCACGTGAAAAAAAAAGAAGAGGAAGATGGATTCTTTTCTTTCCCACCTGGATCTCGTGTTATAAGCTCTTTCTTGACTCTTCTTCTAACTTTTTCTCCCCATATAAGAGGAAAATATTGAATTATCAACCAATAAGTAACCAGCTACTCATCATTACTAAAATTTACGTATCAAATTCAAATCACCACACTACAGTATTTTAGGCCTACAACCACCCTTGAGAAGTGTGGCCTAAGATGCCAAGAAGTGTAGCATTTGGGCACAGGCAATACTTTACGACTTTAGGCAACGCTTTTTGGGGGGTGGCCTAAAGTACCGTAACCTTTGACTATTGGCCACGCTTTGTAGGTGTTGCCTTAGAAGCCACGCTTTAAAAGCGTGGCCGATACGGTACAAAGGCCACACCTATATTTTCTGATATAGCCACGCTTTTGTGACATAAGACTACGCTTATAAAGCGTGATCATTGTCACGTTATAGGCTACGCTTAGAAAGTGTGGCTTCTAGAGCAACATTTATCATTAACAATGCCAGATTGACATTTCCTAAAGCGTGGCGATTTTGTCTACACTACAAAATTATTTTACAAAATACTTATATTAGCCACAATTTTGTGGTTAAAAAACTATATTTGTTTGCATCAAGTTCTCTCTCTCTCTCTCACACACACACACACACACACACACACACATATATATATATATATATATGAAGCATTAATTTAAATGATAAGTAATAGAATAAAATAATTCAAATGCATATACTTGAAATAATTACAACAAAGAAACACACTTTGTGTACTATAGTAATAAAGCAATGTTGGTTCAAGAAGTTCACTAGCAAAGACCTCTAAAAAACCAAATGTAACTCATATTTAGTGTCAACAAAAATAAACATCTTGTTCAAAAGGTCTTCACCATTCACTTTAATGATTGAAATTGATTTGTGGCCACCATTTCTAATTGCATCACCTGTATTTTCCTACACATTCAAAATGAAAAAATTAGGAAGAAATGCTTGTAACGAGAACAAGGATCAAAAGAAAGCCTGAAAATACTTCCACTTCTTCAGAATAAGTTAAACTTCTATGCAGTTAGTAAGTGGTAAAAGAAGTAATTAATAGAAGATTACTCTGGTCACATGTAACGAGTTATAAAATGTGTTATAATCTAAGTAGCTCCAGTCAATTGAGGGTCACGTACCCTCTTCCTTTATATATGAAGACAATGTTTTCTTTATTTTAATTTTATAATATCACTAGTCATATCTCTTTATTATCGTTTCTACAGCTAGCCTCATGTCTTTTGGTGTCTTTCATGTGATGTATCTCTGAATCAAAATGAACAACCTGTTCCATAACAAGAGTCCTTAGAATGGGAGAGAAGGTGTATCATTTCCTTCTATTAATATTTACAGACCCTTCAAAAGGATTGGAATACTCTTGTAAAATGCAAATCTTTGATATTTTCTTTTTGTGCCTCAAATCATTGCATTACACC